GGTGGCAGCAGGGGCCGATGCTGACCCCGAGGTCACGTGCCGGCCCAGTCGCTGGGCTGACATTGCCACAGGAGGAGGCCTGAGCGGTGTTGATATCACACCTGGCGATGGCCGAGAAACATGAGGGGTCCACCTACCCACATACCCACCTTGACACCCACCCAATTACCTGCCTACCAACCTACCCGCCTAGCCATTTAACCGCCTACCCACCCCCTCGTCACCCCCCACCCACCCCCGCTCCCCACCTGCCCCAGGGTGCACTCCGTGGCGCCCAGGAAGTCCTCCTCGCGGGAGCCGAGCCTCGAGCCGCCGTTCACGTCGTAGACCTCGAAGCGCAGCTTCTGCACTTCCTCGAAGTAGTAGTCGACTGTGAAGACCTTGGAGAAGACGGGACTCAAGGTGCTCTTCATCACCTCCGTGCGCTCCACCTGCGCCGGGGGGGGGGGTGCGATGGGGGGGGGGCATAAATCTCTCTCTTGAAGCGCTCGCTTGTCACCGTGGCGTGCGCGATGACCACCACCACGTGACTTTTCTTTCGTGTTGTGCGCGGTGCTTTTAGCGCCACAGCGCGTGGATTTGTAGCGTTTGTTTTATTTGTTTGCTGGTGACTGTATTTCATATCGAAATCGCCTTCAGTGCTGTTGCTGCTGGCGGCAATAAAAGTTTTTTTTTAAGTCAAAAGTCTAGCGTATGGCAAGTCTGTGCAAATCACACGGGCGGAGAGAATGCAAATAGCGGGGAGCGGTGGCACAACGGTTAGCGCGCTGCGCTGCCAACCCCGCACCCCGGAGTTCGAATCCCGCTCGCGGCCAACATCGTTGACGAATATCTGAGCCCGGTACTTGGCCTCCTTTAGGTCGACTCAGCCTTAAATGAGTACTCGGTGCGAACGTGGCCCAGCAGTCTGTTAGAGGCGACGTGGGGGGGGGTCTTGGTCTTCGTCTTTTAGGAGAGAGGGTCATGCGGTGGTAACCCTCCCCTCCCCCAGTTAGGGATAAAGCTGTGGTCAGGGCAGGGGTCAGGGCTGGGGTCAGGGCAGGGGTCAGGGCTGGGGGTCAGGGCAGGGGTCAGGGCAGGGGTCAGGGCAGGGGTCAGGGCTGGGGTCAGGGCAGGGGTCAGGGCAGGGGTCAGGGCAGGGATCAGGGCAGGGGTCAGGGCAGAGGTCAGGGCTGGGGTCAGGGCTGGGGTCAGGGCTGGGGTTCAGGGCTGGGGTGAGGGCTGGAGTTCAGGGTTGGGGTCAGGGCTGGGGTCAGGAACGGGGTCAGGGCCGGGGTCAGGACTGGGTTCAGGGCTGGGGTCAGGGCTGGGGTCAGGGCTGGGGTCAGGACCGGGGTCAGGACCGGGGTCAGGGCTGGGGTCAGGGCTGGGGTCAGGACTGGGGTTCAGGGCTGGGGTCAGGGCTGGGTTCAGGGCTGGGGTCAGGGCTGGGTTCAGGGCTGGGGTGAGGGCGGGGCGCACCTCCATCCACTGGGCGCACGACTGCATGAGCAGCGCCACGCAGGGGTTGGTGCGGGAGAGGGCGTCGCGGTCGTGCAGGCCACGCAGAGACACGCGCAGCTCCACCTTGGCGAGGCACGGGGACGCCGAGACGATGTCCAGCGTGGCCGGAGCGCCGGGGGACGGCGCCTCGCCCTGCAGCATCCTGCTGATGATGCTGATGATGACGATGCTGATGATGATGATCCTGATGATGATGCTATTGCTGGAGTTGGTTAGCTGTGCCTGCCTGCCTGCTGATGATGATACTGTTGTTGCTCCTGATTTTGATACTGCTGACGCTGATGATGATATTGGTTATGATGGCAATTATGCCAGTGATGATGCTAGTGCAGGCGTTGGTTACGTGCGCCTACCGGCTGTAGCTGCTGATGATACTGTTGTTGCTGCTGCTGATTAGAATGATGGTAATACTGATGCTGATACCGCTGCTGATGATGCTGATTATGCTATTGCTCTGGTTGCTTTTTTGCGCCTGCTGCTGCTATTGACGATGTCGTTTCCGAATCTGCTGTTGCTGATGATGCTGTCCCTCTCCCCTTACTGCTGCTGCTGATGTAGCAGCAGCTGTTGATCACGCGCTTGCTATTGCTGCTGCTGCTGATGTAGCAGTTGTTGATCACGCACTTGCTATTGCTGCTGCTGCTGATGTAGCAGCAGCTGTTGATCATGCGCTTGCTATTTCTGCTGTTGCTGCTCTTCCTCCAGCCACTGCTCCTGTGGCTAATGTGGCTTCTCACGATGGGCCCGCTGCTGCTACTGCTGTTGCTGCTGCTACACCTGTTGGTCTTGCTGTTCCTCCTCCTCCTGCTGCTGCTGTTGCTAATGCTTCTCCTGCTGCTGTTGTTCCACGCCAGCTGTAGCTTCTGCTGCTGTAGCTGCTGCTGCTGTAGCTGCTGCTGCTGCTACTGCTGTAATTGCTGCTGCTACTGCTGTAACTGCTGCTGTAGCTGATGCTGCTGTAGCTGCAGCTGCGTAACCGTCCGTCCGCCGCGAGACCCTGGGAGCGGTGATGGGCGAGGAAGGGTAAAGGTGGTGGTGAGGGGTGGGGTGGGGTGGTGAGGGGTGGGGTGGTGAGGGGGTATGGCGGTGAGGGGGTGGGGTGGTGAGGGGGTAGGGCGGTAAGGGGGTGGGGTGGTGACTGGTGAGGGGTGGGGTGGTGAGGGGGTAGGGCGGTGAGGGGATGGGGTGGTGAGCGGGTAGGGCGGTGAGGGGGTGGGGTGGTGAGGGGGTGGGGTGGTGAGGGGGTAGGGCGGTGAGGGGGTGGTGAGGGGGTGGGGTGGTGAGGGGGTGGTGAGGGGTGGGGTGGTGAGGGGTGGGGTGGTGAGGGGGTAGGGCGGTGAGGGGGTGGTGAGGGGTGGGGTGGTGAGGGGTGGGGTGGTGAGGGGGTTGGGTGGTGAGGGGTGGTGAGGAATGGTGAGGAATAGTGTGGGGTGGTGAGGAGTGGTGATGAGTGGTGAGGATTGTGAGAAATGGGTGAGCGGCCAGCAACAATCAGCATTAATTACACGGTTTACACGTTTTTAGACGTCGTCTGCTTCAGATATGAAATGTGCTGTTTAATCTTGATTTTGATGCGTGTGAATTTAAATATAACAATTAAAACAACTGATTGGCTACTGTTCCCAGGATATTTAGGTTTTTACATGTTACGTCTATGAATGTTGTGTAGATAGTAGAGTTGTATTCATACATTGTAAACCTGGGTCTTCTCATGTGTTTATGGTTGCTTTGCATGATAAGATGTCATCTGTCCTGTTCATGTAACACTTAAAAAAAAAACAGCTAAAGGGTTATATAAATAACATTTATTATTAAACAAAAGGCAAACAACTAGTATGTATATATAAGTAAATAGTTTAGTACTTATTCAGTGTCTACTCGGCGCTTCTTGGCTTGTCTCTTGTGTTCATTAAATGGAGCATCTCGTGTCACTGTCAAGCCATAGTCTGCAAGCATTGATGGGCTCCATTTGCCCTGAGAGCGTGTCTCCATTGTCACAATGTCCCGGTGACATCGCTCGCCTTGCTCGTCACTTACTGCTGCGCAGTTCGGTGGGAGAAAAATCTAGATGATGAGAGTGAAAAAAAGTATCTTCAGTGGCATGTTGCAACCAAGGCTTTTGTATACCTTGAGGAGGTTTTCCACCAACTCCCTGTAGTTGTCTGCCTTGTTGTTTTCGAGAAAATGTGTTGCCACTAGCTGGAAGGCTTTCCATGCCACACAGTGCACTGTCAAATGCATAATCTCGAAGCAGTTCACGAATCTGACGACCAGCAAAGACACCTTTCTTTATCTTAGCTTCACTTAACCTGAGAAATTTTCCACGGAGGTACTTGAAATCTGCTTGTGTTTTGTCCATGGCTTTGACAAAGTTCTCCATCAAACCCAGCTTGATGTGTGGTAACAAAATATTCCTTGCTTCAACAAATGGTGGGTGCTGAACGATTTTCCTCCCTGTCGGAGTGGCCAATCTATCTTTATGTAGTGGGAATCTCTCGCACGACTACCCCATTCACAGAGAAAACAGCGGTACTTTTGTATCCAGTCTGCAGACCAAGCAAGAAAGCAACAACCTTCAAATCGCCACAAAGCTGCCACTGATGTTGGTCATAGTTTATGCACCTCAAAAGTTGTTTCATGTTGTCAAAGGTTTCCTGCATATGGACTGCATGACCAACTCATCTGGATCATTAATGATGTTGAGGGCTCCTATCACACCATCGATGTTGATGCAGGCTACAAGATCGCCTTCCATGAAAAGAATGAGACAAGATCCTTTTGACGGTCACGGAACATGCACACCCAAACATCACCTGCCAGGAGATTACATTGGTGCAGTCTGGAGTCCAACAGCTCTGCCTTACTCTTGGGTGGTTCCAAATCCCTGACAAGGTCTTTCAGTTCACCTTCTGTTATGAGTTGTTCTTCAGAGGAGGAGGATGGGAGAAAATCTGGGTCATGTGACCTTGATGGTTCAGGACCAGAAGTTCCATCCTCTTCCTCGTCTGACTCAAGTGAGAAGATTCTGGTGCATCAGGAGCCGGCAGTCCTTCTCCATGGGGTACTGGGCGCATAGTTGATGGAATGTTTGGATAATGCACAGTCCACTTTTTCTTCTTTGACACACCTTTCCCAACTGGAGGCGCCATGCAGAAGTAACAAGTCACTTCACCACAAACATAGCAGAAGTTACCTGCTTTGTTCACACAGGCACGAGGCATCTCTGCTCACTTTGGCTCAACATAAATGTGTCCCTTTGCAAAATCAAACACTGACAAATAAGAGAGTACGACACTGTATGATTTCTAGAGCTGATATCTGGCAATTTGTTCAGCAGAGGGATTTAAGCCTAGTTATGATTGCATCATTCATGACTTCTAGGAATAACATGATGCAATTCATATCATGTATGGCGCAATACCGGGTTCAGATTGCATCATTCATCGTTTTGCTCAAAAAAGCAAGTACAGTCCAAACCCAGTCATAGATGTATGCATAGATCCAGTCAAAGATGTATTTTACTAATTTCTGGTTTACATTGAGATCCCGTCATTTTAGAACTCACGTATCCTCTGCCATTCCCAAGTCAAGGGTCATATATACTGACCCAGTCGCATATCTTGAAAACTCGAGCCAATCAACAATTTTAAGCATCATTTTCATCCTCAGTGACTCGGAATTAGTAAAGATGGACTACATTTATTTCGGAAGCATTTTGGCTGTCGACCAGAGTTATTATATCCGGTTCGGAAAAAGAGACGACGGGAGGAGGGAATTCCAAAGTGGAACCGTGCAAGTGAAGAATCAGAAAGAGAAGCGTCGTGACCTGCGGTGGTGGTGGTGAGAGGGTGGGTCAGTGGGTGGATGAGTGAGTGGGTGAACGTGTGGGTGAGTGAGAGTGTGAGTGGATGAGTGTGTGAGTGAGTGGGTGAGTAAAGTTACGTTTGTTTGTGTAACCAGCTTAGAACTCAAGAAATCAGGATGAGTCTCATTGGCAAGCGTGTCCTGGGTGAATGAGTGGGTGAATCAATGAGTGAGTGGCTGAGTGGGTAAGTGAGTGGGTGAGCGGGTGATTGAGTGGCTGAGTGGGTGAGTGAATGGGTGGGTGAATCAATGAGCGCGTGGCTGAGTGGGAGAGCGAGTGGGTGAATCCGTGAGTGAGTGGCTAAGTGGGTGAGTGAGTGGGTGGGTGAATCAATGAGCGAGTGGCTGAGTGGAAGAGCGAGTGGGTGAATCAATGAGTGAGTGGCTGAGTGGGTGAGTGAGTGGGTGATCGGGTGAGTGAGTGGCTGAGTGGGTGCATGAGTGCGTGAGTGGGTGATTGAGTGCGTGAGTGTGTGAATCAAAGAGTGAGTGGCTGAGTCAGTGGTTGAGCAGGTGATTGAATGTCTGAGTGAGTGAGTGAGTGGGTGAATCAATGAGCGAGTGTGTATGTTGTTACGGTGGTTGGACACTGTACGGTTGAGACATAACAGTCATTTCGATGAACGGAAATCTAAACACGGGAGGAGCAATCCACGAGTAGAGTTCATGGTAACAGTGAGATGGTAGTAGCGATAGAAGAGTAAGTGGGTGAGTGAGTGAGTGAGTGATTGAGTGGGTGAGTGAATGCGTGCGTGGGTGAGTGAGTGGATGGGTGGTTGAGCGAGTAAGTGGGTGGATGGTGAGCGGGTGGATGGGTGAGTGAGTGAGTGGGTGTTTGAGTGAATGAGTGACAGGGTGAGTAAGTGTATTGTGACCCGAAGTGTGGTGGCTAAACACAATATGAGTTACTGGTTTAAGGATGAGTGAACTCTAAGGGAGGCTAGGACGGGTTGAGATTATCACTCGCCAGTAAGTTTAGCCATGGTCGGGAATCGAACTCAGACAGCTGATTTGAGAGAGAAGTCGCTAACCACTGTGGCACCGCTCCGGCCTCGTGTGTGTGTGTGATCTTATTCATGGTGGCCCAAACGTCAGTATTTTAACAGCATTAACACTTCTAGATTTGAAGCTTTCGTGACTGCAAGGATTCATATTCTTAGGTTTTTTCGGTAAAGTCACGTAGGTAAAAACATCAAAATTAATGAAAATAAAATAAAATAAAACAAAAAATCACGACGTTTCGGAGGCAACACAAGTCTCCGTCATCAGGTGGGACCGTCACAGCCGAATTAGCTGTATCACTTGATAGAGCATTAACACGTTTTAATAGTTTGTTTCTTCCTTTCCAGATGATGAGAGATGTGTTTTAATGGAAACAAATTGTCGAAATACAAACGAGTTCAATTCGCTTGTTATGAATGCTAAAGAAGGCATCCACTTTTGAAAATCCTAAATTCAATAAATTGAATAACCCGATGTGATTTGGTCAAGTGAAGATATTAACCCAATGTGTCCTAACTTTGGACCACCCGTCCATAACAGATGTGTCCCCTATCTCTGCAGGAGCTCCTTGCTGGATCTCACAGCCACGAGGCGATGCTTGCACAGTCGCCCTCTCATACTGTGTGTGGATGACTCAGAATCGTTACTGTATACTCGAAGAATCCGATGAGCTATAAAGCTCTTTCCCACCCATGTCAACCGGAGTATCCGGAGAAAACCCCACCACGCATTGGAGGGCATAAGGCTCTAAGGTCCGCACAGATGGATTCATGAACCCATTGCGCGTTACGCATCCCACGCAATACATTTACGATTAGCAAGGTTGGCTACATACGGTGTGAAAGAAGTTCAAAATACATACACACAACCAATCTCCCACCGAGCCAACTTCCCCCCCCCCACTCCAGCCCCCATCACCCCCCCCCCTCCTCTCTCTCTATATAATGACCTCCAGTGGAGATTGGCACACTGCACGTTTCCATCAGCCGTGTGTGCTCAGCTGAATCTCGCCAGGGGTAACAGACTTGTGCATTTCCTGCGGTGCCAGGGAGGATCTGCCCCACCAGTACTTACGATGCCAGTGGCTCAAACCAATGTTCCGCCTTTTGGGAGACATCTTCAGGAAACTGG